ATTGTACAAGAATTTTCATGAACTAAATGGTAAAATGGTTGAAGTAAAGCGCGCTGTTCCAAAGGAGCTATCTCCGGGTCCCAGCCGCAGCCCTCTCCCGGGATTCAACTACGGACTCAATAGGGCCAACAACTTCCTCAACAACTATGCTGCTCACGGGTATAATCTAACTTCAGTCGGAGGATATGGGGTCAGAATGGATGGCAGGTATACTCCGGTTGCCGGTGGTCGTACCGGTTTCTCTCAGTTTGCTTCTCCTGGTTATGGAATGGGTGTCAATTTGGATCCCGCTTTGAGCCCCACCTTTGCAGGAGCTTCCAACTTTAGCAATAATCTTGGTTACGGACGAATATTGAACCCGTATTTCACTGGAAATTCAAGTAGATACACTACTCCTATTGGATATAGCACAAGCAGCAATAGAGGGGAGTCTTCTCTAAGCTCCCCAACGAGGAATTTATGGGGAAATATTGGCCTTAACTCTTCAGCAAATTCTGGTGGCCTGGGTTCATATGTGGGCTCCGCAAGTGGTAATTACGCCGTCTTTGGGAATAACAGTGGTAACTGGGGCGCTTCTCTTATTTCTGCTCCGGGTGGTAATTCTTCCGGATACGGTGGTGGGAATTTCAGGAGTGGGGAAAATAATTACGGCCTGGGATCGGGCGGACTTGGAAGAAATAATGCAGCAGGTGCTGCTACTACTTCATCGTTTACAGCACCAACTGGCGCTTATGAGGGGTCTTACGGAGATCAATTCCGCGGCGGTTCAGTGTACAGTGATCGAGCTTGGCAAGCTGTGTCTTCTGATGCAGATGGTTCTGGTTCATTTGAATATGGTCTTGGAAATCCAGCAGATGTTTCTGCTAAAGATTCTGAGGATTATATTGGAAATTACAGTATTGCAAATAGACAATCGAATAGAGGTAATATTATACTTCGAATCGCCTCTCTTGGTATTAAATTTTAATAATTTTATTCCATCATTTCTGAGTTTGATCATCAGCCTATCTTTTAGAGTATGTTGCTTTGGAATTTTAGACATGTCTTGTTATATTTCTAGATATTGGTTATACAGATATGTAACTGCAGTTTGCCCTCAAATATGCGTGTGTGTAACTGGTTAAAAGCAGAAGTGATGCTGAAAGTTACTAAGGTTATAATGTTCAATTTTTATATATCTGTTTATTGTTTAAAAAGAAAAGAAAAGAATTATTGTAGTTACATAAGCGTAGTCTAGGCAACCAGAATATTTTCATGACCAAAGATAAGATAAGATAGCAGAGCGTTGTCGCTATGTTGATTGGTTGTGACAAAACTGCCTAGACCCGCCCATCTAGAGTGGGGAAGGCCATCTTCACCATTCACCAACCCTGAATAAGTGTGTGTGTGTATACACCAGGACATGGATGAGGGCGTGATTTACTTTTCACCCTGACTATATTTGTGGATTGCAGGTATGCACATGTACACGCACACAAGTGCGAGTGTGTGCCACACTCCACAAATAATTTATGGTACAACAAAGGAAAGTTATCTAGTGTCTAAATGCTAAATACTTCATGCACCCAAGGTTGTGGCCTAGAGTTCGATGGAGTGGATTGAGAACCATAAGGTCTCGGGTTCAAATTCTAGCATGAGGAAAAAAACACTTGGTGATTTCTCCTAATCTGTCCAAATCTTGGTGGACAGAGTTATCTGGTCCTGTGGGAGGTAGCAGGTATACTGTGGAAGTAGTCGAGGTGCGCGCAAGTTGGCCCGGACACCACGGTTAAAAAAAATGCTAAATACTTCATATTTATTTTTGTAATTGGTAGCACAATTGTTTTGATTACAAATAGAATAACACAAACAAGCATGAGATTTAATATGAGATACTCATGTAATTAGGAAAAGAGGTCGGGGCGAGATGGACTATGTCCTTCCTCCCCTTGCCAGTCCCATTGCTTGGTATTGGAGTCACAATTAATAGCTGACAGCAAAAGCAGCCTTAAACTGAAAATGTCGAGACAAATCAGTTTTATCTCATAGATACATTGTTCAAGTATATAAATAAAAGGATGTCTTTGTTGAAGTGTGTGACCATCTCATCTAAAAGTTTAAGTTGTTAGAGAGAGCACACTTTTATTTACTTAATTATGTCTTCAACATTCCCCCTCACGTGCGGGCTTGATTATTGCTGATGAGCCAAGCACGTGAAAATTCTTTTTGATATTGTGTGGCGGTGAGACTCGAACCCAGGACCTCTGTCTGGTTTGCTACCATGTTGAAGTGTGTGGCCATCTCATCTAAAAGCTTAAGCTGTTAGATTGTGCATTATGTCTTCAATGGTCTTCAATGAAATTTCATTGAAGATATATGATGCTGGGTTGCCTCCATTTCTGTTAAATTTGCGGTTGAATGCCTGAAAGAAATGCAATACACGCGCGTATATTATCTTTTTTTTTTAACATAAGTTAATTCTTGAAAGAAGGCTATATGTTGTTCTGTTTTGCCCAAATATTTGAGAAATTGAAACAGCTCATCTTTTCTTTTTTACTGTTCTCAGGAATCGCAGCATAGGAGATCTCGTTATTTGGATATCTGAAGATAGATAGGAGAACAGACTTAAGAGAAACAAGTGGATGTCAATGTTTATAGTATCCCTCATAATATATATTTCGGATACAAGAAAACTTATCTATAGAGCTAGCAAGGCGCTTGTGACAGTTTGAAGTTTCAGTATACTAAAAGCAATATAGGATCCATTTTCAGCACTTGATCGAGATGTATATCAGATGGCGGACTATACGTGATACCATCTATTGTAGTCGATGTGTTTGTGTACCCACGACAGGACCAGTACCTCTGGTACTATGTTGAGAGTTAGAATTGTCATTTTTTGTATTCTTTTTTCTCTTTTAACTTTTTGTTCCCTGTAGTGGACTGGCAAAGTTGCTGGTGTTTGTTTTTATAGTTCCCTTTTTTTTCTTCTGGGATTTTCATTTCTTGCAGATTGTATGTGAGATCATGTTTGATTTACTAGTGTGAAACATTTGGGGATACTAACCTAGTATCCCTATCAATAAGTACTGAATATTTGATTCATTTGACACTGCAGATTTTGTAAACAATATAGTTGAAACTTTATGTTTGTGTATGGAACTATGTTGCATATTAGATTGATTTTCCCCTGCTATTTGAAGTCTGTTTTGAGTAGCATGGTTCTTTTATTAATAGGTTCTGAGTTTTGATTTGGTGCAACGGTAAAGTTGTCTCCATGTGATATTTAGGTCACCGGTTCGAGTCGTGGAAACATCTACTAATGTTTGCATTAGGGTAAGCTGTCTGTATTACACCCCTTAGGGTGCGGCCCTTCCTCAGATCCTGCATGAACGCGGGATGCCTTGTGCGCCGGACTGCCTCTTCCCCTTATGTTGCATATTAGATTGATTTCCCCCTGCCATTTAAAGTGTGTTTTGAGTTGCATGGTTCTCTTATTTGTAGGTTCTGAGTTTTGACTTGGTGCAACGGTGTTGTTGTCTCCATGTGACATTTAGGTCACCGTTTCGAGTCGTGAAAACAGCTACTAATGCTTGAAAATGGGTAAGCTGTCTACATTACGCCCCTTGGGGTGCGGCCCTTCCTCGGACCCTGCATGAACGCGGGATGTTTTGTGCACTGGGCTGCCTTTTTTGGTCAAACTTAACACTATGTTTTACTTGTGCTAAGTTTTTGTGCTTCTTAGGTAGAAAAATAACAAAATTCAAGAGATCAACTAGTATATGTTTCCCTTATATTGCAATTAGGTAGGACTCTTTGATTAGAACATAATGTGAAGTTCAACAATGGAAGAGATGGAGGTGCAATTTAACTGTATGTTCAAATCATGTTGCCTTAAGCTGACGGTCTGTAGGAAACAGCCTCTCTACCTGCACAAAGTAGGGGTAAAGTTTGCGTACACTCTACTTTCTCCAGACTCTACTCGTGGGATTTTACTGGATATATTATTGTTATTGTTCAATCTTCTTCATCTCAGTCTAGGCAAGTCTATTTTCTTGAAAGGAAAATTCTGCTTTTGTATTTTTGGGATCAACAAAGAAATTTACTTGAGTATTTCACTCTATGTAAATGTGATATTATTCCTGGTAAGAGCTCAATTTTCATCCTTTTTTTTTTCTAATACAAGTTAACTTTAAAATTATAATGTCAAAGTTGCATGCCATGCCATGTGTTCAATATGCTTTCAGTTTTCCTTGTGAAAGCATTTGCTTACTCTCTTTGGTCCAAAATATGATTCATTATGGCAAAATTAATTTTTTTAATCTTATTATAAAAACAAGAAATCACTTATTACATTTTTTCAAATCTTTTTTTAATACTTTAGCATTTTTACCGTAGGTCCTATGTTTTTTAGGGTGTGGTTTAACCTTTTAGGAATTCATACGTTTAGAAAACATACAGAACTTAGTAATACCTTTTTATTTGTATTTGCATAATTTTTGTATGAGATGAATTTAAATGGAATAACATGGTTAGTGAAGAATCATATAGTCAGTTCTTATTTATTTGGGATTGAGACTTAATTATTCTATCATTATTAAGAAAATATAACATATAATTTAGTCAAATTATGATTAGCTATTAAATATCTTTCTTATGGAATATTTAAAAACTTTAAAGGACCTATAGTGTGGAAAAAGGGGAAAGAAGTGCACATATAGTCGATTTTAGGACCACCATTTAAGCTATACACGCAGTGTATATAAAAGATTACAAATTTAGCCATTTTGGGATAATTTCAGATATACGGACTTGAAGTTGCAAAAATCTTGTCTAAAATTGAGAGATCATACACTTAAACGAAACTCCAGACAGACATTTTTGCGTGAACTTTATGTACATATACTTGTAGTTGTGTACCAAATTGAAACAAATAAAAGTTGGTGGACCGGATTGAGTTAGAGGCAAAACTACAAGGACTAATACGTAAAGGGAGGACATAACTGGTATTTAATTACAGCTAGGGTTTTAAAGTGGTTTAAAAGGCCAGCCGATCTCATTTTTGTTGAGCCCTACGTATTAGAGCATAACCGTCGGAACCCTAGGATCCTTCGTCGCCGGCAACAATGGGTAACGAAATCATTAGACTTTTTAGCTTTCATATTATCGTCCTTAATCTCGCACGTTTGTATCCTGGTGTAATGAAATTACGAAAATAAGCTAAATAAGAGTAATGAATGTGCTTATGGTATGTGATAGGTATCTCTCGGGATTCGATGCACAAGAGACGTGCCACTGGAGGCAAGAAGAAGGCGTGGAGGAAGAAGAGAAAGTAAGTTAAATTACTTTTTATCTCAATATGTTCACTACTTTGGACCTGAATGGATATAGAGGATTCACATAGTCGATCAGAACTAAATTTGGACTTTGCATAATTGATTTATTAAATGTCACACTATTTTGGACCTAGAATGGAATGGATACAAAGGATTGATATGGTCTACTAAATAGGTATTTCTTCCCATCTCTAGGCTTTGGTGGTCAGAGTTACCCAGTGCCTGTTTTGGTCGGAGGTAGCTGGTAGATGGTATCTGGTAAAACTTACTCGGTATGAGTAATGTTGATTTGTTGAATATTCAACTATTTTGACCTGAATATAGTGGAATAGAGTTACCCACTACCTGTGTTGGTGAGAGGTAGCTGGTATTTGGTAAAACTTGCTCGGTATCAGTAATGTTGATTTATCGAATATCCAACTATTTTGACCTGAATATAGTGGAATAGAGTTGCCCAGTACCTGTGTTGGTGGGAGGTAGCTGGTATATGTTAAAACTTACTCGGTATGAGTAATGTTGATTTATTGAATATCCAACTATTTTAGCCTGAATATATTGGTATGTGTAGATAAGATTCGTATAGTTGACCAAAACTAATTTGGGATTGAGTGTAGTTAATTTATTGGATGATCTATGATTTTGGACCTGACTATATTGGAAATGGATGCTTGATGATGATTCATATAGTCGACCAAAATTAATTTGCGAGTGAGTGTAGTTGATTTATTGAATGTCCTACTACTTATGTCCTGGCTTGTAGATAAGGTTCTTGAAATCTCTTTATCTAATGTTCTTGATTATTATAGGCAAATGAAGTTAAGAAACACTAACAGACCCATGGCTTTCACTAGAAGTGTTTTTTCTCTTTCTTGAGCACCTCTAGTTCTAAAGAATTGCTAATTTTCCCTGTAACATATATGTTGATTCCTTGATGGAATGGATATAGATGATTCATATAATGGACTTCTTTAGTTTGACATTGAGGTAGAGTTGGTTGATTAATAGATAGAGAGAGATAAGGGGAGTGGGGTTTGGGGTTCTGAAGCTAGTTCTTCTGTGGTTGTCTTGGACAACAATTTTACTTGCATCTATTATATGGATTTACGCTAATGAAGTATACAAAGCTAGAAATCCAGTGGATTTTGCTGGATTATTTTTTCTCTTTCTTGAGAACCTCTAGTTTTAAAGAATTGCCATTTGGCTTATAAGACAAATGTTGATGGAATGGATATTGGTAATACATGTAGCTGACTCCATTTAGTCTGAGGTTGTGGCTGTGTTGAATTTTGGGGGTGGGCTGCAGATGTGAAGCTGGGCCTTTTATGAAGGAAGATATGTAGATTCCTTATTGGTTGTTTAATTACCGGGATAAGGATACTAATCCCTGTATAAAATTGGAGATTATATTTATCCCATGTTTGGTTGTGGGTATTAGCTAATACCGAGATAAATTAATGCCAATATTTTTGTATTAGCTATTCCATATTGGATTGTAATCCCGGGATTACAATGTATATCCCTCCTCTGAACCAAACGACCCCTTAGGGTCTAGAGATTGGTGGCTTTTGTTGCATAATTGCAAGAGTTAGTCCTAGAGTCTCTCTTTTGGCTAGATCTTCTCAAACTCTTCTTTAAATTATTCTGTGAGGTGGATTTTTGTAATATTGGGCTGTCCATAGATATGATTTCAGTTGAGTGTTTATTGGTCATGTTATGAGATTGACTTTGATTGTATGTCTCTGTGAAGGTACGAGCTTGGAAGACAGCCTGCAAATACAAAGCTGGTGCCTAATGCTAAGACTGTTAGGAGGATAAGGGTCCGAGGAGGCAATGTGAAGTGGCGTGCTTTGAGGTTGGACACTGGAAACTTCTCTTGGGGCAGTGAGGCTGTTACTAGGAAAACTCGTTTATTGGATGTGGTGTACAACGCCTCAAACAATGAGCTGGTTAGGACACAAACTCTAGTGAAGAGTGCAATTGTTCAAGTTGATGCAGCTCCATTTAAGCAGTGGTATCTCCAGCACTATGGAGTTGATATTGGTCGCAAGAAGAAGAGTGCTGTCAAGAAGGAAGGAGAGGTATTTGCATGAATGCTTTCCTTGTCATATGTGGTCTCTTTTATTCATGGTGTTCCACTTCGGTTGATATGATAATCAATTTTATGGTGCTATATATTAACTTGAAGTGCAATATTGATACACTTAATTGTAAGATGTTCTGCTTGAGCCTCTGTTATCTTTTAAACTGCTGTATGTGGTGGCTCTGATGCAAATGGAAATAGATAATTGTTTGTGTTCAGGTCTCAAGGAAAATTCCTTAAACTTCTTCCTCTTATTTTGTGAAGAAAAGATTGTATTTTCTTGATTATAAGATTGCTTATAATTGTGTGTAGTTTTTTCCTTGATCAATAGGAAACGATTGTATTTTTCAAATGTCTTTTCTGGTGGATTTTGTCGTAGTATGTGTTTAGTTGTTCTACTAATTTGGTCGCCGCCGGAAAATTGCTCTGAACGAGTGCATTATATGATGGTTTTTATTCATTGGTTCACAGGAGGCTGAGACTGCTCCTGCTGCGGAGGAAAAGAAAAGCAACCATGTCCAGAGAAAGCTGCAAAAGCGTCAACAAGATCGTAAGATTGACCCACATGTTGAAGAGCAATTTGCTAGTGGCCGTCTATTGGCGGCAATCTCGTCACGACCTGGCCAATGTGGCCGTGCCGATGGGTATGAGTTTTCTTCTCTATTAGTTTTGATCTTTTGTTGAAAACTGTATAGCTCAACCCCATAACCTCTTCATTTCACTTTACCAAACTGCTAAAAAAACATTTTTTACTTAATGTTACAAGCACGTTTAAATGACAGAAGTTTCTATTTGATTGTTCACATTTAAATGACATAGCAGTCCAAGATCGTTTCTAAATTCTCTGGAATTTGTTGATTTTTTTTTTAAACTATAAAAACTCGTGGCAGTTCAAACTCTTTGAATTGGAGTTCTTTTGTTCTTTAGTTTTGATCTTTTGTTGAAAACTGTATAGCTCAACCCCATAACCTCTTCATTTCACTTTACCAAACTGCTAAAAAAACATTTTTTACTTAATGTTACAAGCACGTTTAAATGACAGAAGTTTCTATTTGATTGTTCACATTTAAATGACATAGCAGTCCAAGATCGTTTCTAAATTCTCTGGAATTTGTTGATTTTTTTTTTAAACTATAAAAACTCGTGGCAGTTCAAACTCTTTGAATTGGAGTTCTAGTTTTTGCTTTAGTTTTCTTCGGTTATGAGAGTGAAAGCTGCATCTTTGTTGCTTTTTATATGGCTAAACGTGATTCAGAATATGATGTGAATTGATGTTCTTTTCCTGTTTGATCTGTATTTAACTATTTGTCATTCTCTTGCATTTCTCGTTTAACTTTGGCAGTTACATCTTGGAGGGTAAGGAACTGGAGTTCTACATGAAGAAACTTCAGAAAAAGAAAGGGAAGGGTGCAAGTGGTGCTGCTTAAGAGTTATAGCTGATTTCTGTTATATCATCCAAAGCGTCGAATCATATTGCCTCAGTGTTATTTACTATTTACAGAATGGGTATTAAGAACCTCTTTAGCTGGTAGAGTTAGATCAGCCCATCTTTTTGGAATGTGATAATTTTGAGGACAGATTCATCCTACTGTTTTCTTCTAAAGATGTCATTAAAGATGTCATTAAGGTAGTCTCATCATTCAGCTTTCAGGTTTTACATTGCTTGAAATTTTATATGCTATGGTTGCTTGCTCACAGAAAACCTTCAAATATTAGTGTTTCACACTGTCTTCATAAGTTGCGCAAAGTCCCCTCAGCACGCAAGCATTTATGAAATTTGGTAATCCAAAATGCTATGGAGCTTTAATTGTTGAAGTACTGATGATGCACTGGAACATATATAGCACCACTAATTGAGAAAATGTAAACTCGTAAATTATCTCAATCATTTATATCTATTGAAACTTAAAGTAGTTGAAGGGAGCCTCGGGGTAATTGGTAAAGTTGTTGTCATGTCACCAGGAAGTCATGGTTTCAAGTCGTGGAAACAACCATTTGCAGAAATACGAGGTAAGATTGCGTATAATAGATCCTTGTAGTCCGATTTTTCCTCGGATTTTGTGCATAGTGGGAGTTTAGTGCATCAGACTGTCCTTTTAGGCTCACTAAAGTAGTTGTAAAAGGAAAAAACAAATGCATTTAATGATTGAAACTAGGGCTGGGCATAGTTTGGGCAAACCCAAAATTCAAATCGAAATCCAAATTTTTTGAATTTTTGGTTTGGATTTTAGATTTAATTTTTAAAATATTTGGATATTGATTTGGTACTTCGGATTTTTGGATATCCGATAATTCAAAATTTTACGCTTATATTTAGTCCATTATCCATATTGTAATGCCCCAGAAAATTTCGCTAAGTAATTTAAGATTTTCGTGGTGCCAAGGTAGGCTTATTATATTATTTTGTGTGCAAACAAGGATTATTAATATGATGGTTATCAATTGGATATGGTAATAAGTGTATAAGGTATATTATAAGTGATTTGGGGTCTAAGGAGAGGCCTAGGTTTAAGCCAAGTTGGAAAATTACATGATGGACTAAAATTCCAAATGAGTACGCACAAGATCAAACTTTGGACGAGCATATCTACACATATATAATGAGTTGTGTGATTAACAACCTATCAGATTAAAGCTCTTTGAATCTAGTTTCCAATGCATCAAACCATTTGTTATTTGGATATGTATACAGAAAGTTATGGCCATTTTACCGGACCAATGTCATATGCGCGCCCAGATGCGCGGCCGCGCATATTTGGAAGTTTCTGCCTTGTGTGCGCGGACAGGTGCACGACCACTTGCCCAGGTGCGCGGCCGCGCACGTAGGAGACATATAAATCCGCCAAGGTCGGGTAGGCAGAGTGTCTAAGTCATTTATTTGAGCTAGGGCTTGCTCTATCAAGGGGAATCCGTCCTATACTTCCGTCCAATGAACCAAGATCCATAGATTTCCATTCAAATCCCCAAATTGGTTAAGAACACTACAAGTGGGGATTCTCAAGAGTCTTACTACAAGAGATTAAAGTTGTTTAGTGTGGTGGACGTCGTAGTATTATTAAGGGGTAAATTTCAGGTATGTTGGCTAAACTTTCTCTCTTAGAATCGAATTCCATAAATGTTTCCAAAAGTTCAAGAACGGTTGGCTCAAAATTCCTAATTTATATATATTCCGGGTTATTACCTATAAACATGACTATTCTGAAATGAGCTGTATGACTAAAGATATATGTTCAAAGTATGGGTTGCGTATAGTGTTATGACTTCAAGTCGTGTTTCAAGTGAAGGCTATTATGCCTAATTGTGTAAGAAATCTCAATGTGCTTAAGACGCTTAATTGCTCAAAGGTATACTAAAAGTCGTGATTAGAGATTCTTCGTTGTCGATAATCTATAAAGATGCTTGAAAGTTAAAGTAGTGAGTTGTAGATATAAAGTGTGGACACCGTGCCAGGAATGAAAGTTATAATTGTGGCCAATAGCGCCAATGAAATGAAATGATGTGTGAAATATTATGAAGTGAGCCTTGATTCAACTATTCCAAATTGACTCCGAAAATAGAATTATCCAAAAGCTTATGTACTCGAGTCATGTCTAAATGTGGTTGTTCTAACTAATGCTATGCTTGGTAGGTATTTTCAATATGTTTTGAGTTCTTACATATTCATGAGTTGAAATTGTGTATTGCCCTTTTTGGGAAAGGTATTTCAAGAGTATTCTATATGATGATGTTTATGATAATAATCCTTGAAAGAAAAGAAATTAAAGTGCGGAATATGATATAGGAACACAATGCCATGAATGAAGAATAATATGTATGGCCAGGGGAGCCAATATGATAATGATGTTGTAAATAGTTGAAAGTAATTGTAAAATGATATATGGTGTGAAAGGTTATGAGATAAACGTATTTGTACTTATGTTTCCAACGTGCTATAAGCTCCTACGCCCTCATGAGGAGAGGCTATGGTGTTCCTAAATATTTTAAATATTCTTGATGTCTTGTGATCACCCATGGCAAGTACAAATAAGTGATAGTATGAACATGAAATGCGGCCGTTTGCCAAATTGAGAAGTATGGGGTGTTGTATGTTCCAATGGTTACAATCATAGTATGTATGCTTCTAAAATAATTAATGTAAATGACTTCGTTGTTAAGTCCCCCAGAATCATGAACTTAGCTAATGAGCTTAAGATGACAAGCGAGTGAATAATGAGATGAAAAGGGAGATGTCCTATGGTGAATGATGATAAATCTTATGAAAACGAATTTGGGCCATGGGCCATTGAAATTGAATTATTGATTCACCATACATGTAGTAATGTAATGAGCTATGTTTCTTTATGATGAGTATGAACATGAAGTGTTCCAATGATCCGGCAACTTACGACCTTTAAAGTAGCGTTAGTCATGTCGCTTGAGTTTATATATGGCTATGTGCATAATGATGTGTTATTAATCCTATGGACGGTCTATGAAACGCATAGGTATATAGTATGGATAAACACTGTGAACGGTCTATGAAACGCAGAGGTGTATAGTGTAAGTAAACATTGTGAACGGTCTATGAAACGCACAGGTGTATTGTGTAAGTAAACACTGTGAACGGTCTATGAAACGCACATGTGTATTGTGTAAGTAAACACTGTGAACGGTTTATGAAACGCACAGGTGTATTGTGTAAGCAAACACTGTGAACGGTCTATCAAACGCACAGGTGTATTGTGTAAGTAAACACTCTGAACGGTCTATGAAACACACAGGTGTATTGTGTAAGTAAACACTGTGAACGGTCTATGAAACGCACATGTGTATTGTGTAAGTAAACACTATGAACGTTCTATGATACACTTAGGTGTATAAGCTCTGATACTGTGGACGGTCTATGAAACGAACATGTGTATTGTATAGGTGATATTGTGGACGGTCTATGAAACGCATATGTTTATGATATGTGAACACTATGGACGGTCTATGAGACGCATATGTGCATAATATGATATGTGGACATTAAAGACGGTCTATCAAATGTATAAGTGTAAAATAAGAGGGGGATATGGATTGGTCTAGTGAGACGCATTGTTAACGCAGACAATAGGGGCCGCTTTCATTGGCCTTGTTTGTACATATTGTTACATTACATTATATTTTGTGTCTCACGCATAGTTCATATGGCACACTTGATCCCAAAAGATGTTCAGAATGAAGTAAGTATAATAAGACTTGAAATGTGATTCTATGGGATGTTTCATAATTTCTTGATGTACTTCATTTGCCTCTTATTTAAGTTACTGTATTTCCATATGTGGACATTTGGATATCGCTTATTGTGACTTGGTGTTTCTATGGTTTTCCACTTCTTATATGGTCATTCTATTTTGAAAGAGGGCCTTTAGCTATACATACTAGTGCTATTCGACAGCACTAACGTCCATTTTACCGGGGGCGCTGTATCTTTAATTGATACAGGTGGTTCCACAGCAGGCGGCAACGATCAGTGATAGCGTATACTCTTTTCAGCTGACTTGGTGAGCCTGCTACAGTTCCAGTGGGTATTCAAGTCTGTTTTGTGTTATGTACTTAGGTATCTATTGTCATAGAAGCTCCATGTACATTGCAGGTCATGTATTTAAGATTTGAGTTTTGCTATGTAATTATGTTCACAATTAATTACGAAGCTATGTACCCATCATGAGAATGATTTTAGGCCATTGAGCCAAATGTATCTAATTTGAAAGTCAAGATCAATTTATATTTTGATAAATCATGCATGAGTTATGATGAGAGGTTGATGTAAAGTAGGCTTGCTCGACCGGGTTTACTCGGTTGAGCGCCGGTCATGCTCCCAGGTTCGGGGCGTGACACATATTCCAATAGTAATAAGTGCAATACCCTACCCATTAGATATTATCTCATATATTCAATATTAATTACTAAGATACTGTCAGAATACTTTCTATTTGGATATGATTTTACTATTGTTACTTCTTAGCGGTCGTAGTAATGTCTCTGTTGCATTTCCTTGATAATAAATTTATTACTTGAATACTTTATTTGGATGATTGCAGTGAGAATGAGAAACTTTTCAAGCAATTTAACACGTGTACTTCATTTGGATATTCATTTTTGTAAAAAGAAGAAACATCTCAACTTTTAAGTTCAAAACCGAAAAATCCAAACCGATTAATCCAAAATCGAACTTAAAAAATCCGATCCAATACGAGCATACGAGCTTATTTGGATTGTATTTAGATTATCATTTCTTCAATACGAAACCGAAAATTCAAACCAAAATTTTCATATCCAATTCGAACTGCCCAAACACTCACCCGTAATTAAGAGTCAGGTCTAGAAACAAACACTTAGCTTTATCAAGTGTAAAGTCGCCTACTCATTTAGCTTTATCAAGTGTAAAGTCGCGTACTCATCCAAGCAATGTGTTAAAGGAGTGGGCATAATATCGACCGAACTGAAAAAATTTCTATCTTACGGGTTCCTACTTCCATGGTTCCATTTCACAATTTCTAATTAGGGTTTCTCACTGGCTGACTTCCTTCCTCCTCTTGCTGGCTGCTGCTCCTGCTGCCTAATGCCGAGTGCCGATGCCTTCTTCCTCTTCCGCCACTCGTCGCCTCAACGCCTCGTCCTCTGTCGTTCTTC